TCTTTGATGGAAACTTTTCTTTTGGTAAAATCAATATCTACATACCTAAAGACTTGCGACATTTGTTCTCGATGAGTAATATCAGGAGTCAAATCAAATAAAAGTCCGTAATTTCTCTTGATGTCACTTATTAGTTGATTTCGAACTATGGATACCAAAAGATGAATAAATTCATTTTGGATTTGTGGTGATAGGTATGAGAAAGTTCTTGGCGTTTCTATGACATTTTTTAGATGAGTAGCTAGCAGTGAATCAAACTGAGCTACAAGTTTAAGTAAAGATAATAAGTTTCCGACATTTGTACCGTCTTGAAGCGCTAGATTTTCAACATGACCACGTAGAGGAAGAATTTTGTATAATCAGATATTTCATACAAGCTAATATCCGTTGCAATATATTTCGCCACCGTTCTTTTTCAGACTGTATATTTGCTTCTAATGATTCATCGATTCCCGTTGTATTAATTAATCTTCTTTCCACGTCGTAAACGATTTTCGATGAATTTGACTTCTTTCATGGCTAATCAATTTTATCTTTTTTCCTCCATTTATTAAAACCAGATGCTGTTGCGAAAGATGACTGTGTAGCGGAGTTTGATGTAACAAACAGTAAACAACAAAAGCAGTACGCTGCATTATATTTTGGTGAATATAATAACCAAGATCGGTTTATTTCAGTTCCTTCTTCTTCATTACCGGTTCGTCGAAAAAAAAAACGAAGATTTTGGCATTAGATGATTAGTCGATGTTGCTATTCGTAGCAACTATTCCAACTAGATAAACTATTGCATTCGTTTTGAAATATGTGGGATCCACGAATAATTATTTCGATGCGAAAATGTTTCGATATTATTGGAAGATTATTAGAGAATTTTAAATAAGCATCTTTGAACTCCAGAACGTCCGGAATTGTAGTGAGTGTTTCTATTGAATTTTGTGTACTTATTAGGTATGGACATGGATTTGGGACTTCTGATGTACTTCATCATCTTTAGAGTATTTTATTTGTTGTGATGTGTTATCGCATAAATGTTTAGCAGCAATAGAAATACAATTTGAATCTGATTTTAGTTCTTCATTCTTCTTAACTTCTGGTTTTTCTTTTTGCGATTTGTTTATTAAATAGTATAATTCCATTCTTATTCTGGAGTTCCGAGCTTCTTTTTCTTGCGCTAATTTTCTTTTACGATTCTGAGAACCGCTAAGTTTTTTCCTTGGCATTGACATGGTCTAAATAAAAAATAATTTGTGACAGTTGCGGGAAGAGAAGTTATTGAAGAAATAAAAAAGACATTAAAGGCAACTACATATAATTAAAAATGGAAAATCTCTGCAACTCTTAGTGATGGCAGGGTTGAATTTAAACTTGATGAAGCCCTAAGCTATTTGAAAACTGGGCCCATTTATAAGTCTGTTATACTATATTTAAAATTTTTTTTGGGCCCTAAACTATAGCTTGTTTAGCTTATACGTAAATACTGCACTGGTGATAGGGAAATGGGAGTTGCATTTTTGTATAAAGCTTGTAGGATATTCCACTGTGTAATGCTAAATTAACGCTGAAAGTGAAGAATCTTAAGAACTTGTAAGCGAATAATCGCTTGAGTTCGTGTGACAGGAAACAACAAGATAGAAGGGTAAAATAACCCTTTATTATTCAAATATGATTTAAAAGAACTCCATCTTGAAATTGTACAATAAAGGCGACACTTGGGCTTGAACTTAACGTAAACTATAAAGTCTTCTTTTGAATTCAAACATTATAATATCGGCGTTTAAGTGGACGGCCAACCAGTACCTCATAACACTCTTCAACCTAATTTGGACAAAATAATTTTATACGAGCTTACCAGAATTTATTTATGAATGCAGACGACAAAGGACTTTACCTTTCAAAATCAGAATTTTCAAAGGGATATTCCTTATTTCGCTTCGATTTGTCACCTGACCTTTGCGATGGCTCTCATTAAAATTTCTTTCGACACAGCAACTTAAGATTAGAAATAAAATTTGGGACTCCCTTACTACAAACTGTTTCGTTATTAGTGTACGCTGAATTTGAAAACTTGATAGAAATCAATAAAGCTCAAAATATCCAATCCAGTACGATTTTGGAAACTGATGAATTCATCAAATCTTATCTCGAGATTGTATTTCTTTGAGATATTATGCGGATGTTTTCCCTTGTGAGAAAATACCTGCAATTCAAAGTTTTCTTGTGCTTTGGTGCTCAATACTGATAAACATGATGAAAAAGGAACTCATTGGCTAGCTGTCTACATTGCAGACAAACAGACTGTGGAATTTTTTGAATCTTATGGACTCCCGCCTGAAGTATATGGAAAAGATATCACATCCTTTGTCAAGAAATATCGTCATGTTTTCTGGAACAAGATTTCGCTTCAGAGTTTAACTAATGTATGTGGACATTATTGTATTTAGTTCATTATTAAATGATGTCAAGGACTCTGTATGGAATTTATTGTATCACCCTTAGCTGTAAAGAATCATGATTTCCAAATATTTCAATTTGTCAAAAAAAGATATGGTGTAAACATGATTTTTAAAAAATAAAGTTGTTATAATTTGGAAAAAAAAGAAAATTGTCTCCTGTATTTTTTTGCACTTTTTCTACACCTATTTAAACAAAATTCATAATGTCTTCTTGTTGCCAATACACTTAAAAACGGTTTTCTGTAAAAGTATAAAAGTCAGTGTTTTCTTAATATTCTGTCATTTCAGAAGATGGAACTGCCCAAGTTCGTACATCCTTCTAATTGTCTTCTGAGCGGAGTAACCGGTTCGGGTAAAACGGTTTTTGTGAAAAAATTGATAGATCATAAAATGTTCCATCCCATGCCGACCAATATTATTTATTGCTACGGAAGTTATCAACCTCTTTTTAATTCCATGAAAAATGTAAATTTTGAAGAAGGATTACCATCTAACCTGCAGACTCTCCAAAATGCTTTAATTATCATAGACGATTTAATGTCTGAATTAGCAAGTGATACTCGCTTAAGCAAACTTTTTACAAAAGGAAGTCATCACCGAAACCTTTCAGTCGTTTTTATAACGCAAAATCTTTTTCACCAAGGCAAGGAGATGAGAAATATTCATTTAAATTCCCATTACCTTGTCCTTATACAAAAATCCTAGAGATAAAAGTCAAATCATGCATTTAGCTAGACAAATGTTCCCCGGAAAAGTAAAGGCCTTTCAAGAAATTTTTCAGGATGCTACTTCAGCCCCTTTCAGTTACTTGCTGATTGATTTACGACCTGAAACAAGTGAAACGCTTCGCCTTCGTACAGGTATCTTTCCTGGGGATAAATACTATGTCTACCAGCCCCGATAGTTCATTTCAGTTTGAGACGTCGAATGGCTAACATGTCTTCTCCCATCGTGATCGATTTCGAAGGTTTTCAGTGGATGCCTCATTGTTACATTGTTAAAGACTTAGCTTTTTACTCCGTACATAAAGGATATCACAGTTTTTGGTCATTTTTACATCCTCAGCCTTGTAAAACATTATCATACCCTCAACAAAAGTGTTTTACCTGGGTAACAAAAAACCGTCATCACATGAATTGGTATGAGGGTGTATTACCTTATACTCGTCTTCGTATTATTTTGCAATATTTGTCATCTATTCACTCTGCCATATACGTGAAAGGATTAGAAAAGAAATTATTTTTAGAAAATTTATTATGTAGAGACATCATAAATCTAGACTGTCCTAAGATAGAGAATTTAAAAAAGAAAAGTTCTTTAACATGTTCGATTCATGCAAAAGGATTTAATTGCTGTGCTTTAACCAAAGCGGCTGCATTTGCTACCTATATAAAAGAAAGTGTGCAAGAAAAAGAGCTCATTTGTCATCAGAATGTCTCATCTGAAGGATGTGGATTATCTAAAACTGTTAGGAAAAAGTCGAATAAAAGCAGCTGTACTGAAAAAGTGTCCGAATCATCTCATCAAATCAGTTTGTGAGTGTGTTTTAAATCTTCTAAAAGGAAACGTACCCATCACCAAACGCGTCAAAAATCGACTCGCCCCTTTTAAAAGAACTTTAAGGAAATTAGCGGACAAAAAAGTACCTCTTTTTAAGAAAAGACGTCTTTTGGTTCAAAAAGGTGACGGTTTTCTATCTTTCCTGATTCCTGCAGCAGTCAGTGTCTTATCCTCTCTTATCCATGGAACACAGTAAGAAATTTGCTCTGGTACCCCTGGATCGTATGCATCAGTTTGAAGATGAACATTTGAGTGATTTAGATACCCAGATTCAAAACATTTTAAAAAAGAAAACGGACGATGAAGAAAGGTCCAAATTATACATCTAAGTTCTGTAAAAGTATGTTACGTTCCCTCATGTGAATGCATCTGAAAAACAACTGCCTGAACAACTTTCTGAGACAGATGTAAAAAAGGAAATTATGCAAACAGTTCCTGTGAAACAGAAAAGAATGGCACAGAAAATAATGGATTTTCTGAAAGAACATCAGATTTCCTGAACACAAAATAAAGAAGTCATTTTGGATGGTCATGTGTTTTCTGGGTCCAACATTGTTCAACTGATAAACTTTCTGTTGAGAAATAGAACTGAAAGACCTGCTGCCTTTGAACAGTTTAAAAATGTACTGAATGTTAACAACTTTCCTCAAGACTTGGTGAAAAACAAACATTTAATGAATGTAAAAACTATGTATGCTAGACCTAAAAGAAAATCTTCTTGAAATGTGGCTGAATTATAATGAAATGTTTAATAAAGGTAATGGCTGATAATTGATACATTATGTTTTTTTTTCTAAAATTAATAAGTTAATATATAATTTTTTTTCTGATTAAACCAAATATATATACATAATCATAACAATTCTTTTCTAAAAATGATAAGGAAAAACTTACCTTACACCGCATCTTTTCCAAAGAAAGAAAAACACCATAATTTTATCATTCAAATTTCTATTTATTTTTTTTTCCAAGTTTTTTTCCCACCCACACACAAATGCTCGATGTATCATCATCATGCATCATAATGTATATTTTACATATAATCATTTTTTTGTCCATACCATACATTTTATCCATACATTTTTCAAAGTCCTTTTTAATAGCCATAGGGTAATGAAGTCTTTCTGGATCACCCTTTTATTGAGCACAATTTTGTACATTTTCGTCTCAGGTTTATTCACTACCTTTCTCCTTTTGGCTTCCCGGCTGATTTTGCAGGGATTGTTAAGAGGAATATTTTCATTTTGGTCCAGACTGCAGACCAGACTTCAGATAGTTTCCAAATTCAGCAACTGAAAATTCCTGAAGTTTAATGAAAATCCACGAACTTCGCAACAAGTTTTCCTTGTTTGCAACAAGTTTGCTGTCTGGTACGTATAATTCTTGGACCCTCCTGAAAGAAGCAAGCAAAACCATGAGGAAAAGATAACAGAAAAAAAAAACATTAAATATTTTTTATACATATTGAATAAAGAACTTTTTAAAGCTCCTTACCAGAGACGAGTTGTAATCACATCACCCTCCAGCCGCAAAAACTCCTTTACAGATTCCCAGCAAGTGGCAGCCACCTCAGGTGTGGGAAGAAAGACATCTTTGATCTGAAAATAGAAGAGCCATGTTAACAGCTCAAAATACATGAGTAAAAGTTCAAAATACATTGAGTTTATAGGTTGATAAAATCAATAAGAAAACCTTCTTTTTTAGTAGGATCCGCCAACATCTTATTAAAGTCTGGCACCATGTGGACATAGGTCATTTGAGCTTTGTTCACGTTCACACCCCATCTGGGGAAAAACAAAATCCAACATAAATCACAACAAATTAAAAAACATGCTAAAAAGAGTTTATAAAAATTTTTAAGTGCAATAAAAATAGTTTGATTAAATATTTCTTTTACATATTATGTCAACCAATATTACATATTACAGCTCACGAAATGTTTCTGCTATGAAAAAAGAATCTTTCTCAAAAATTCTTTTATATATATATATAACTATAAATGATTATTCAGTTCATTTTTCTATAATTATATGAAAATATTCTTAAACTATTGAAAAGAATGAAATTTTATTCGTTTTCAAATGATTACGAGATGGATTTTAATAAAATGCTGAATGAAGACATTTTAAACATTAAAACAGAAAAAATCTAAAATAGCTAAAACACACCTTGGAAAAAAATTTGCGAGGGAAAAATTATAAATACTACTGAAAATAAAATTTTCATAGCACATAATTTTAGCAAAATTTTTTTAAAAATTCTATCATTATACTTTGAATACAGCCACTTTACTGAGATATTTATTCCAATATAAATATATAAATTTCATGTTTCATTTCCTATTTATCTGTTTCAATATACCCTGATTTAACAAATTTTATCTCAAATTTCAGATGATGCATTAATTCTAGATTCAGCAGCAATTACTTTCCAGAACATATATGAAACTAACAATATGCTATCAATTTTGTATGAAGGCTTTCCATATAAAATTTAGCATCTTAGATTTTCTACATTTATATAGTTTTATATAAAGAGAGCATTCATTATGGATGCTGACTTCATCAATATGAAGTAATAATACATAAGTTAGAATTTTAATAGTGACAGCACACTGAGGCATTACAGTTGGCTTATTGTAGACACCATAGCCTTCATATCCAGCAATGCAATCATTACCATAGTTTTCATATCCAATGATGCAATCATTTTGCTTATCATCCGATAAGCTTGCTTTAAAATGATTTCATTGAAGGATACGATACAATACCTGTCATAGCTTTTCAGTTTATTTTGCATATAACTATATGGCATTAAGCCCAGCAACTGAAAGATTGGTCCCTAGATTTGTGGCTTAATTGTCTGTTTTTCTAAGACTTAGGTATTAAGTTTTTATTTTGACTGACATTTCTTTTTGGAATGTCACTGGGTTTGCTTGGTTCAGCCACTTGCCCTGAAGATGGTTAATTTGGCTGTTCACAGCTTAATGACACTAAAATGATGCTTGCAGCAGGGGAGGGGGGTTGAATTTTTCTGTATTTTTTAAAAAACTAAGCATATCTCCCTCTTTCTTAATCTGCTACTTTTGCACACCTAATCAGCTGGAAGCGATAAAAATTATAAACATGAAACAATTTGTGTAATAATCACAAAATAGAATCATAAAAAATTATTTTATATTTTTAGTTCAGTTATTTATTGAACAGAATAAATGTTAAAATTATTAAAAAGCAGCACTGAATTAAAATATCAGTAACACTTATACAGTGTAATAACACTGATACTACAAATGCTAAATTAAACGAGTATTGGGACTTTAAAGTATTAGGAATGAGCAAGTGTTAATGATACTTCAGTTTTTTGAATGCATATATTCATGTCACACATAGAGAAAATTATGAAAACTACCATGCAGCCAGTCTGTTTGGCAGGATACAGAAGTAATAAACATGTTTAACCCTTTCCGGCATGCTACCTTTTAAAGTCAGAGTTTTGATTAGAAAAAAAAAAAAAAAAAAAAAAAAAAAAAAAAAAAAAAATAGGCAGTCTAATTAGGCCTAGAGGAGTACACAAGTAAAATTTTGTGAAGATAGCACATATCGTTTATTTCTGTGGGCGTGCTCCAAGAGGGCACCCTAATTGAATAGAACTTCGAAAAGAGTGCTGAAACGAGCATTGTTGTCAATAAACTGACCGATGAGATGTGAAGAAACAAAGAATACAGACTCTCAATTGTCCTAGATTATCGGTGAGCACGGTCTGGGCACACTTAGGGTTCGCCATTTGATTTTAGGCAAAATTTCAAGGTACAAATTTAAAACTAATATAGAATAAGAAAATTAGCATACAGCCAAAAAAAAAAAAAAAAAAAAAAAAAAAAAATTCAAGCAATTCCTTTTATATCTTAAAAAAAAACCTGGAAGATTTCTTTGAAAAATGAGGGTCTTAGAAAACTAAACATGGCTAAAATATATGGACTGGTTTGTGCTGAGTTGCCATTTACTATAAATAAAGAAGGTTCATAGTAACCTATAAATCCTTTTTAATTCAATTTTTCTGTGTGTACAGAAGGAAATTTTTAGGTGTGTCCAAACCGGACACACTGTGCCGCAAAGTGTTAATAATGAAACATAATTGTATAAAAGTATTAATAATTAATGAGGTGAAATTTATAGTTTTGTTCTTTTGCATTACGGTTAATATTTCTATGTGAAAACTATCTGACTTAACACTGTCCACTTTCTTTTATACAGTACTGAATATTAATTCTGAATTACAATAAATTTTCTAGCTGCTCTTTTATTCATTCACAATAATAATAGCTTGAGTTAATTTCTTCTGCATAGAACTTCTACGTTTATTTCATTTATGACCTCCCAACTTTTTCTACTACATTTTATCCTATAGTTTGAATCTGAGGTATTGTGGTGCAAATATCCAGAGTTAAACTGTCATAATAACAGTACTACAGAAAATTAAAGCTAGCAGGCACATATCATAAAGTTTCAATCATATGTAGAAGTGATTCAAGTAAATTTTTATAATTTACCCAATTGCAAGTCAACAAAATAAACTAATTTTCACAAATTTTTCAATTTTCTTTAGTCTGCAGATAATCAAAACCATTATTAAAGAGAGATCTACTGCACGTTTTTGTTAGGAAATACATCATATTTACATTCTTCAGCTTTGTCACTTTTTAACTTTAACAAGTTAATATTTAAGAACTAAAAATTAAATAGTATAATACAATTATATCTCTGAAATTATGAGATAGATGCAACAAACAAAAGCTCTGAAGTCAGATTCCAATTAGTTAGGATCGTATTTATTTTGCATATAAAACAATACATGTTAATTAAATAGAACCAATGGCTAAAGAGCACTTGTTTTAAAAAAAATTATAATAAAGAATGCAGTTTTCATATTACATATCAATACGAAATAGCATATTAAAGTAAATGTGCTACAAGAAATAGATTTATTCTGCTGCTGATGATTTCATACAATTCATCATTCTTTTCGAGCAACTCAATTCATAATTATAATGTAAGGAAAAAAGATATAAAGAATATCAAATTTTATTCACTTTTTCTGAACCAAAGTACGAAAGAAACAGCACTAAATATAAAAATTTTGGAACAACTGCATTGTCTGGTATCATAATTATAACTGAAGTGCTGTTTTGAAGAAGGGTTATGGAGTTTTAGAGCAATTACCATAATTATACTTTGATGCTTCTTATTTCATTAAAGCTAATTCTTATGCATAGTAATGTTTTACTCATCAGCATTTTATGAATTACTGACAATTTCAAAACAAATTAACTACAAATATAAATATACAAAACAAGGAGCTGCATAACTTTAAGCTTATATAAATTGGGATACCTTATGTTGGAGTATTGCTGAACTCATAATTAAAACAGAATAAAATGATAAATGAAAATCAAAAAAAAAACACTACTATATATGCACTGTATGTTACTTCCTTATTAAAGCAGACAGTCTGGATATATTTAAAAGTTACAAGTTACAAATTTGGTGATTCAATCAGCTTATTTTGTTATGGTGTCTTTATTAAACAATAATCAAATGTCACCTATGGATATTCTAATATATTTTAAGAACATTAGGCTTAAATAAAAAGTTAAACTTTACCTTTCTGGATTTTGGAAAGCCTAACAGATTTCAGTTCATGAAAAAAGTCCCCATTTATTGCTATTACAGGCCACACATCGAGCAAAAGCTTTCATTGAAGGGCAGTTCAACCTGAAAAAAGAAATTAAATCACCATTTAAAATTTCATGATCAGGGTAACAATAAAGGTTTAGCACTTGGCTTATAAATAATCCTGCTCTTTCAGAAAAATTTAATTGCCATGACAATAGATTTAGGTTGGTAACTTATTTCTGTAAAAAATGAAAAATATTATTTGCCTTTCCAGGAAAAACATGAGCACATATTTACCATATAACATATTCCTCGAAAAATAACACAATGGCTTAACACAATGGCTTCAAATCACATTAATTAGACTATAATAAATTAAAGCTTTTATTTTGATTTCATTTCTACTTTAGCCAGACTGCCTTCATGATCATATGACACACAATATATCCTTTAAAATAAAGACTAATGCAACAGGTTCAAATAACATAAATTGAAAAGTTTTTCACCATAAGTGAAAACATAACTTTGCAAAATAAATCTTACATTCAATTTAAGGCCATGAAAAATGATATTTGACAAATAAATAAAGAAGGCTTATTTACATTTTTTGATGTATTAGACATGAACCTGATTTAATCAAAAAAGTTTTAATATGGGGGATAGGTTGGAATAGCTTTAACTTCTTTTAAAAGCTGATGTATGTTTAGAACAAAATGTTTTAATGACAAGTAAATTTCCATCATTTGCAAATCATTATATATTAGAAAATACATTTTAATGAGATACTAACAACTATGACATTTTATGCATAAAAAGAGTAAAAATTAAGCCAGTTATCATTTGGCTTTGTGGCTTGCTGTCATCTTTGAAGCTTTCGAAGCTTTGCTTCTTCTCCCAGTATAAATTCTTTATTGGTACATTACTATATTATCAACAATACTATTTTCAGATTACTTTCACAACAGTAAACTAACTTATTCCAGTTCATAGTTTGAAAGCATTTGAAAAGCTCTCTTTGCTTCAGACTTATAATTTCAGCTTAATATTCTA